GAGTGCTTTCCCTTCAACTCTGGAAAAAAATCAACACTTGACTTAAAAGGAAGTTTTTCTTTTCCTAATTCTTAATTCTACTGAATCGTCCCTAGAGGGCAATTGGGGAGAAAATGTCTGCCTCTCTCCATTCCCTTCATAACTTCTCTAACGGGGTCATGTTTTTATTTGGCTGATAGGCTTAAAAGGCAGAAACCCAGGGTCCACCCTCTCATTTTGTTATATATAAAACAGGAGATTTGGCTCACGACCACTTCTGACCGCAGTTCACTTAGGACAAATAATTCCCAAGCTCATCTGCTGCTCCCACTGCTAACTTCCAGTGGAAAAGAACTCACCAATAACACAGAATTGGGCAAAAACAATCGAGATGGTAAAAACAAAGCAGTTCCCTCAGGACAAAACTAACAATGCTTCTACAATATACTAATTCTAAAATGTCAGCAACTGATGGCTTCAACCAAGTCAAGCTAACATGGATGAGTTAACAAGGCACCCTTCCCCGAACGTGGTTGTGAGAACAGGAGCCTTAAGGCACTGCCAAGCACAGAAGGCAAATGACTTCAGAAGGACACTGAGTACTGTAGAAGGGTTCTTTGCTAAATGCCAGTAAAATGCTAGTTTTTGTTTATAAGCATCCAACTTCAGAAACCTTACTTACTCACTGAATTGCTGGTGTCATTCGGTTGCGAGGTCATGCCCAGCTCTTTGGGACCCCAGACTGCAGCATGCCAGGATCCTCCATCCTTCATGGAGGATCACTCCTCCTCCTATCTCCTGGAGTTTGCTCAAACTCATGCCCACTGAGTCACTGATGTTATCCAACCATCTCATCCTCTGTTGCCCCCTTCTCCTCCTGCCGTCAATCTTTCCCAGCATCAAGTTTCTCAGATCACTGAAAAAGTCTGTATTAAATGGCCCTTAGTTGTACTTATAAACAATGATGTGTGTCACTGCCTATAATTTGCTCATTAAAGAAACCAAGGGGACATCCTTGGTAGTCCAGTGGCTACGACTCAACATTCCCAATGCAGGGGCCCGGGTTCCATCCCTGATTGGGGAATTAAAACCACAACTAAGAGTTTATGTGTTGCAACTAAAACCCACTTTAGCCATATATATAAATACACACACACACACACACACACACACACACACACACACATATTTCTTTTAAAGGAAAGAAACCAAGGGAGGACCTGGAAATGGTCCTATCCCATCAGGGACCTCGGTGAGCCATGAAGGGGCCATGGGCCACCCTGGGAGAAACAATATCATGTAAGACATATTCTTGCCCTTTGGTTCCTGTCTTCAGTCATCTCTCTTTCCAGACGTGCATATCCTTGCTCAAACGTGATTTTAATCCTAAGAACTGGCATAAAGCTGAGGTGTGACTCTGGACAGGCCAACAATCTCATTTGTAAAGCTGGGGGAGACACAGCCCCCACCTCCAGGGAGATGGAGGGCCCATCAGGGAGCAAGCTCAGTGAATGGCAGCTGTTCTTACTTTCAAAATCTGATTATGAGACAACAACTTCAGTGGTTGAATGTATACTGCACGACCTACAATAATTATAGTCTCAACAGGGAGAAACAGACTTAGAAATACAAGAAAATGATACGACACTCTTTTCCCCTAAGATCCATGTAAATGCTCCTGAAAGCACTCAATGCAAAAATCAAAACTCTGACAACAATAACCTTATTATGAAAATACTTTTCACATTTCATCTAAAACAGACAGGAGTAAGAACTCTCTGGGCCTCACACCTGCTGAGCAGGTGTGGTTCCCGCACTGGACTAAGCCTTGTCCCTCCCTGCCCACACCCCCTAACCGCATGAATGTGACCCTGGCTAGAGAAAGGGTCTTCACAGAGGTCACTGACTACCTAACTCTGACGACAGGTGTTCTCATAAGAGACAGAAGAGAAGACAAGACACAGAGGGAAGACCACGAGAAGGGGCAGAGACAGACTGAAGAGGTGTGTCCCACAAAGGAGGCCTGGAGCCACAGACACAAGTGGCAAGAGGAAGGGTTCTCCCCAGGGTATTCGGGGAGCGCAGCCCTGCCAACACTGACTTCAGACTCTGGACCCAGAACTGGGAGAAAATAAACTTCTGTTGCTTTTGGCGATATGCTACAGTCTCTAGGAAGCACTGTGCTCTGTGGCTTCTGTCCATCACTGACCATTCACTGGAAGCCCGCAGGCAGCAGCCGCACGAACTCACGTCTCCCTCCGGCAACAAGCTTGAGTTCCAGCTTTGTGAACAGTAATGATTCAGAACCAAACACTGCAAACACTCCCATGTACTAAACTTCTTGGAGAAGGAGCCTCAAGAAGTGGGCTCCTGCAGGCTCCACTGACACAGTGGAGTGTGTCCCCTTCAGGTTCCAAGTAAAAGTGTCTGCAAGTGTGTATTCCTTTAAGGATGTGCAGAGCCAATCAGAAGGACAGAAGGACACTGCAGACAGGAAAGCAGATGTGCACAAATGGCCAGACCAGAGAGGAGAGTGGGCCCAAAGCATTGGCCCCCTCAAGCCCAAGCTTTACTTGGACAGGCGTAAGCTTTGTGAGCGAGCTGTCTTCCCACACAGACTGTAAGAGTTAAGACAGAGGAATGCAGGGAGCATACATATCTTTCTAAACGTCCTCACATAAAGCTTCACACAAGCCATGATCAACGACCACGCTATGACCTCACATTTCATAAACGGACACAAGCTGATGCATCCCAAGGTCTGAATGCACTGTCGATGTCGGATACTAGCTCCCACTCACCACTCTGAAGTCAGAACCCATTCACACATCTAGACAAATAACGGTGTCTTTGCCTTTCATCTCCAGTTCTCCACATGCAGTTGTTAGGACACTGGCAAAACAAAATGTCATCTAGAAAATAAAACGTTACCTAGAAAACGAATTCCATAAGACATAAGAGACAGAGGAACCAGATGGCACAATATTCTCCAACTTAATAAAAGATTACGCATCTGTGTTCAAAAGTACCACCCACTCCAGAGTTTCGTAGAGCGTGCTCTTCACTTTGCCACTGGAGAAACTAGATGAACATTCGCAAATCCACTTAACATTAAATAGAAATTCTCAAATGCTCATTTAAGACCGGGGAAAGCTCAACAAAATCTCCCTGATCTTTTCAGGCTGTCTCTTCATAAGACGGTTTTTAATGTTGGTCCCAGGTCACTGCCTGCCTCAAACATGAATCTCTAGAGTACAAACATTACCTGGATTTCATTTTCTTTGTTCTGTCTTCACAAACTGTATACTCGGGACACCAGTCTCAGAAGCAGTACTCCAGTGATGAAAAGGAATAAACCTAGTTTCCTGACCTTGTGACCAATCACTGCTAATATTCATGCAGAACAGCTCCTCAAACATTGTATCCACATCTTGGTTTTTAAATGTAACATCAAGAAAATTTCCTAGGGACTTTCCAGAGGGTCCAGTCGGTAGACTCTGTGCTTTCACTGCTGAGGGCCTGGGTTCAATTCCTGGTCTGGAAACTAAGGTCCTGCAAGCCACTCAGAACAGCTGAAAAAAAAAAATTTCCTCAACTTTCTTTCCGGGTTACACATTATGAATTCACCAATTCAACACACACACATCTTCTGAGAATCTATTTGTACTAGAAACTAGTTGTAGGGAATTTAGCAATCAACTAAACAGACAAATGCCCTGGCCCCATGCTACTTACATTGAGGGGGGGGGGCGGGAAGAGGGATAAAATATGCAGCATGTTCCATACTGGGAAGCACGAAGGAGGAAAGCTGAGCTGGGGGTAAGACTGTTGGTGCCAACTTTGGCTTTGTTTTCTCTTTATCTGTAACCCATCCATCTGGAAAGTCATCTTCAAACCTCACTGCTTATTGCTTCAGAATACTGACGTATTGTTGATACATCTGCTAAAATCTTCTTTCATGGACATTTCTTAATTCAGTGACTGCTGATTTTTACCAGCCTAGTCTTCCAGGTGTTGTCACTTGCTGTTTTTCAAATTAAAATACCTTTTGCAAAAATAAATTTCTCTTTTTCTGAACAACGGGGGGCGGGGGAGGGGGTTTCACGGGAAGAAAGATAGTAATATTTACTCAATACCTACTATGCAGCCGGGGAGAGTGGCACTATGCACTGACCATGGCAGTTGATCTACCCACGACCCCACGAGGTAAAGAGTATCATTTCCATTTTACAGAAGAAACAGACTCTCCAGTAACTTGTCTACAGTCACACAGTAAGTGGCACAGCGAAAACGTGAACTTCGCTGCTCATGTATTTTGGTCTTCAAAATTCTCCACTATTGCGACTGTTTTTCTAAGCTCTTCTTTTTTCCTGACCGCTCCATCTTTATGTTTTTTTGATGGCTATTCCATTTTGTTTCACAAAGCTGATATTAGTTTTCTACACTCCCTAAAAGCAGCCTCTTTTCCTTTCTCTATCACTTTCAAATTAAACTGGACTATGTTCAATTGAATTGAATCAACCTCTATGGGACTGTATTGAGCACGCATTTTTTAACTGAAATGACCACAGAATCCCATGATCATCACACTTTTTTTCTACATCATCATCCTTTTTACTGAACCGTCTCCCTTGTGACAGAACCAGGCACCCAACTCTCAAGTGGATGGAACACCAGGGTGACCACCGGGATTCTTGTGACATGTTTACATGCTAACAAAACGGCATACAATCCGACGGATGATCCCGTGTGTACACGGCTCCGGGTGATCCCGGACACCTTTCTCTAGCGGCTTCCAGGTGGGAGCACCGCCCCCCTCCGCCGATGATGACCCAGACCTGCAGCCGATGGATGGGAGGCGCCGCAGAAAACGCAGCGCGAGAGCTGCTGGACTTTCCAACCAGACCCGCCGGCGCGGCCCCTTCGTCTGCCGCGGTCCGGGCCCCGCCCGGTGGCGCGCCCGGGGGTCCCGGAGCGGACGAGCGCGCCCCCCGCCCGCGCGCGCCGGCCCCCGCCCTCACCACAGCCTCCTCTTGAGCGGCAGCAGGCTGCCGCGGTTGGACGGCGTGACGCCGATGGCCATCTGCAGCACCGTCAGGTACTTCTGGTACTTCATCTTGTCCCCGCTCCGCTCGCGGCCAGGGCCCCGCCGCCGCCGCCGCCGCAGGCACAGCCCCTCCAGGCGCCGCATAAGTCAGCCCTGGGCCATCCGCCGCCGCCGCGCCCGCCGCCCGCGCCCCCTGCCGCCGCCGCCGCCGCCGCCGCCGTGCGTCCGGCCGTGCGTGCCGCCCCGCGCCCGCGTGCGTGCGTGCCCGCCGCTCCCGCCGCCGCCGTGCGTGGCCCGCGCCCCACCGCCCCCGCGTCGCGCACCGGCCCGCGACGTCCGCGCGCCTCCGGGCGGCCAGCTGGCGGGGCTGCGGTACCGAGCGGCAGGCGAGGCCAGCGTCCGCCCCACCCCGCACCGCCCCCCGCTTCCCGCACCGCCCCACCCCTTGCTCTCTCCCCGCACTGCCACCCCGGCCTCGCCTCCTCCCCGCAGTGCCCCGCTCCTTCCCCGCACGGCACCGCCCCCTTTCTGCGGCCTCAGCTCTTGGCGGGAGCTCACTCCGCACCGCCTCCCGCAGAAGCCCAATCACAACCATCCAGAGAGGAAAATGACTATTCTGCATTTATAATCTTTCCCCAGTAGCTGTCGCCGTGACTTGGGCTCCACCTTGCAGTGTGTGGACGCGCGTTGTGTAAGTTGCACGCGTGTCCGTGTGCTGTACGTATGAGTGGGTGCGTGTGCACACAAGCCGGCCTCTCCGGCGGTGGACAGGACCCTGAAGTGAGAAACCATCTTCACCGTACGTGAGGAAAACTAACATTGTTCCACGAGACATTCCTAACTCTTCACTGATGATTACGAATGTGTAAGGAAATGAGAAGACTAGCAAAACTAATCACTTCTTATACTGTAAACCATCACATACACGGAGACTTGAACTGTGTTCTTCTGTGCAGGAAAAGCTTAACAGGAGTGGCTTGAACAGGGCTTGTCTTCTCGTGGACGTGTCGTTTTGTGCACAGAGAGCATCTTTTCCGTGTCTTGGCAGAACGTCCCGTCTGGATCACTTTAAACACGTTATCCTCTGGGCGTTCCCTGTCACAGTGCCTTGAATGCCTCGTCTGTCCTCTGGGATGTATGATCCTTTTATCCAAGCCTCTTTCCTCAACTTTTCATTCCCCTGGGGGCAAATCTGGAGCCTTTGGAAAGGTGCTGAGGTCAGCATTCCCACAGGTGCCTTTTTTTTTTTTAATAACTCCAGTTACATTCCGTGCGTATTTCATGTCACTTACATCTTTATCATTTTTTTGTTTCTTTGCTGCACTTCCATCTTTGTCGCCCGATTCTATCTTTCAGTTACCTTTTTTTTTTTTTTTTTTTGCTTGCACGGCGGGGTGGGGGGTTGGGTAGGGACGGATGGTGGGTGGAGGTTGGGTTTTCTTTTAACAAGGCTGTGTGGGTTTATCACTAGGAGAAAAGGAAGCAACACAATGATACACTTTGCTGTCAGTGTCTGAACTTAAAAATGCTCAAAATTTGTAGAGACCTGGATGAACCTAGAGAGTGTCATTCAGAGTGAAGTCTGCAGACTGTAGTCTGCCAGTCTCCTCTGTTCATGGGATTTCCCAGGCAAGAATACTGGAATGGGTTGCCATGCCCTCCTCCAGGGGATCTTCCCAACCCAGGGATGGAACCCAGGTCTCCTGCATTGCAGGCGGATTCTTTACCCTGTGAGCCAGGAGGGAAGCCCAGAAGAAAGGCTTACTTACTGCTATGTATAAAATAGATAACTAATGAGAACATATTGTACAGCACGGGGAACTCTACGTAATGCACTGTGGTGACCTAAAAAGGAAGAAAATCCAAAAAGGCAGAGATAAATGTACTTGTGTGGCTGTACAATGGAAACTATAATAACAGTGTAAAGTAAATTCGGTAAAAGTTAATTTTAAAAAAATTTTCAGAGACCAGATACTGACAGCTCTGAAAGAACTTCTTCGATTGCTCTCTCATGATGCACCTGTTGTGTAGTGATTTCTGGACTAAAAAGCTGGCGTCAACTTAGTACTAGATGAGCTGGTACTAGACACATTTACTCACAGTGTGCCATGATAACTGAAATTTGAACCATATCATTGATCCGCTGGTATTATTGAATTAAACTATGGTAGCTGACTTCAGGCATATCTGAACCCTCAAAGCAAGGACTGCCTGGAAGCAGTCTGTGTATGTCTGTCTGTGTATATGAAGAGCACAGATAAGTTCACCCACTGGGAAGAATGATCAAATGTCATCCCACTCTCTCTGCAGTGTGTACCTCATGTACCTCTGCTTAAATGCTTCATTTCCAAAATAATTAGCACATAGGAAAATTAGAACAAAACAATTTCCTAGTTTAGGCTCTTAACTTAATTTCACAGCCACTTTGGTAGAAAACTTGGTCTAAATCTATTTCACTTTTGTTTATTCAGAGGTTTTAGCTCTCACGTAAAATGAGGGATTGGAAGGTCTTTCACACTTCAAATGTATATACTAGAGAGAAGACCTTTTAAAAGACATTAGGACCTGTACTTATCTATTTACCATTTCTTACATGTGCTCAGTCTTTTGTACCACCCTGCTATATTGTAAGATATTTGATGAAAATGTAAAATATTTGATGAAATACTGTACTATCAAGGATTTAGAGAAATAGAGGTTGAGGGGATCTATTCAGGATAAAGAGAGAGAAAATAAATCTGGCAGAAGCACTTCCAGAATGGCAGAAAAATCTGGTTCCCTGTAAAAAACAGAATACCAGCTTAAATTGTTAAATCAACCTTTTCAGAACTCCAGACATTAACCAAAGGCTTCCAACCATCCAAAGATTGTTTTTCAATAAAAATGACTAAAGCTTGATAGGAACAGTGACTCTGATGGCATTGTAACTTGCTCAATTCCCAGCCCCTCCTATCCGGTTCTGTCATAGCCTTGGGAACTAATAGCCTCATAACTATAGTAGCTTTGAAACCCAGTAGACTAGCAGCCACTGGATGGGAGGAATGGGTTTAGATAGTCCTAAAACCCCATCCCTAGAGAGTTTTCATTATTTGACCTGTTGGCAGCTCCATTCACAGGGCTCATCTTTATTGATCTGCTTCAGAATTCACTCTGTGCAAACGGTCCTATCCCTAGGGCATTTGTTAAAAACAATCAACAGCAGTTGTTTAACATCACAGCTGCCTGAGGTGGTAAAACCAATTGGGGCTAACAAGAGGTTAACCAAAAAATGAAAGCAAAAATGGGCAATGAGAGTCCATAGGGTGCCTTGAAAGCTAGCTCTGACATGTTCCTGGGAGTCCAGAATGCCTTGCACAGTGCAAGACTGTGCACACCCTTGAAACATCTGAAAAGGCCCTAATCTCTCACTTCAGGTTGACTTAGAGGTTTCGAGCCAGCAGAAAGTGAAGGCAAAGGAAGAGTTGTAAGTTACCTACCAGAATATTGAAGGCATAAAAAGAAGAAAATAAACTCTACCCCTGCTTCCACTTTTTCCCCTTCTATTTGGCATGAAGTGATGGGATCAGATGCCATGATCTTAGTTTTTTGAATGTTGAGTTTTAAGCCAGTTTTTTCACTGTCACCCTCATCAAGAGGCTCTTTAGTTCCTCTTCACTTTCTGCCATTAGAGTGGTATCATCTGTGTATCTGAGGTTGTTAATATTTCTCCCAGAAATATTGATTCCAGCTTGTGATTCATCCAACCTGGCATTTCACATGATGTACTCTGAATATAAGTTAAATAAACAGTGTGCATTTATATATATGTACTTATATGTAACTGGAATGATAATAATACTAATAGTGCAAAGGAGAAGAGAGAGAATGGAGCACAACTGGAGCTTAGTTTGGGTATACTACTGAAATTAAGCTAGTGTTAATTCTACCTAGATTATTTTAAGTTAATTGTAATCCCCAACACAACCATTAAAAATGACTCTTTAAAATATAGTAAAAGAAACAACAAAGAAATTAAAATACTACAGTAGAAAATATATAGCACAAAAGAAGGCAATAATAAGGAAACAGACGAACAAAAAGACATAAGATATATAGAGAACAAATAGCAAGATAGCAGTCATAAATCCTGCCTTATCAGTAATTTCATTAAATGTACATATACTAAATACTCCAATCAAAAGACAGAGACTGACAAAATATATATAAAAACACGATCCAACTATATATCGTCTACAAGAGACACTTTAAAGTCACAAATCGGTTGAAAGTAAAAGAACAGAAAGACATATACCATGTAAAAAGAAAGATGAAGTGGCTATACTAATATCAGACAAACTAGACTTTCAGCTGTAAATTGTTCGTAGAAACAAAGAACATTTTATACTAACAAACAGGTCAATCCATCAAGAAAGCATAACATTTGAGAAACGCCTGTGTGACTTCCCTGCTGGCTCAGTGGTAAAGAATCTGCCTACCAACGCAGGAGACACAGGTTGGATCCCTCTCCAGGAAGATCCCACATGCCACTGGGCAACTGTTGAGCTTGTGATCTAGAGCCTGGGAGCTACAAGTATTGAATCCCCAGTGCCCTAGAGCCTGTGCTCCACAACAAGAGAAGCCACCACAATGAGAAGCCCGCAACTAGAGAAAACCCCAGGGTGTAGCAACAAAGACCCAGCACAGCCAAAAAGAAAGAAATGTTTTTTTAAAAAAAAGTAAATACCGATATATTTTTTAAAAGGGAAGCACTTGTGTGCATAACAGCTGAACCCCAAAATAGCAAAAACTGACAGAATCAAAGGAGAAAACTAAACAATTCAACAATAATAATTGGAGATTTCAACACCCTCACTTTCCATAATGGATAGAATAAGGCAGATGATCAACAAGGAAAAAGAAGTCGAGAACAACACCAATATTCAACTACACCCAACACATCTGTGGAACATTTGCACTCAACATGGTCAAATACACATTCTTTCCAAATGCACATGGAACATTTTTCAGGATAAATCATATATTAGGCCACAAAGAAAGCTCTCAATAAATTTAAAAGTAATGAAATCATA